GACTGGCAGATTGGGTCATGGGGTTGGGGTATGTTCCCTCGGATGGGGAGATGAGCCAAAAAGCGAAAGAGGTGATGGGGACGGAAAAGACGGCGGCGGATGATGCGGTGCTGGTGGGCAAGTTTAGGGATATGATGGCTGCCAGGCTGCAGCAGTCAAATCAAACCCAGTACCATCAGGGCCTGGATCTGGGCATGATGGACATGTCGAGCACCAACACCGCAGGACTGACAAGCGGTGAGCTCGACGATCTCCTCCTTCAGGACATGGACTTTGACTTTACCGACCTCGGTGGGGGAGGTGGTTTTGACGGGAATCTTGTGGGGTTTGAAGGCATTGATCTTCTGATGCCCCAGAGGAGTAGTGGTGGGCAGCAGCAGCAGCAGCAGCAGATGTTCTAACTTTTGAAGAAGGGGTGGGTGTATGATGCATGGAAATCTCCTCTCAAAAGGGCATTGAGAGTATGTGATGAGGTCATGAACTTTCATTTCTCTTAGGTTTTTTATGTGCTTTGAATCGGGTTTGGGACAGATTTCTTCTTTCGTGCAGCATTATATAGGGTGACGAAGTTGGGAGAGGGCTTACGAAAGATATGAAAATGAATAAAACATAATGATATTTGGCCGTCGGTTGCAGTTACTTCAAGGTGTGCTTGGCTGTGATGGACTTGGGTGGCTTTAGGCAGCACATCACTTACACGAGACAAAGCTACGCAGGAAAGCCACAAGTGGAAACACAGACGAGATGCAGTTCTTGAATGTCGGTATTTATTGGAGTACCCCCAAGTACACCTAGCTAAGTCGATAATGCCAATGCTCTAGGTATCTATCTGGCAGAATACCACCACGGCATAAAGTTCTGATGCCAAGCTTAAAGTTGTGCCAAAGATAAAAGAGACAAACACGCAAGCTGTAGACGGGAGCACAACATCTACTTGTACAAAACAGCAGGCTCTTAAGCATAAATGTAGCGGGGAGTTCTCTTGCCCGTTACCCATCAACCTTGCGGAAGCAACTCTACGAGAGAGAGTCGGGTAAAGGGCCTTCTGTCCCGCTTATTGATCTTCCAACGCTCCGTTAAGAACAAGCTCTGAGATGAGCTTTGCTCCTGCCATCTCTAGTGATAGCATCGCTGGGTGTGTGTGTGTGTGTGTGTGTGTGTAGTGTAGTGTAGTGTAGTGTAGGGGGGATATATGAGTGATCTCTAGAGCCTGTCTTGTCGGCAAGACAAGACAAGAGGGGGAACAAGGGAGAGGAGGGAAGAGCGGTCCGGTCACTGCTGCCCACCATGATGACTGTAACTGTCAATTCGGTATCTGACTGCTCATGAACGTCTATCGCCGCCAATCCTGCTGCCTGTTAAAAATGAACGCAACGCTGCCATATCACCAAACGCCGACGCTTGTAGCCTGAGCCGGTCCCATCTCAGATCAAAAGAGAGAGAAGTCATGGCGAGGCCCGGCTGTGACGGAAAAACGAATAAAGAAGATAGATACCTGCTGGGAGATGTGTTACGAGTCCAAGACATGCTGGAACAGTGGCGACATCGACTCGCCGTAGTGGTTTCTGCGAATCGCCTCAGCCAGGAGGAACGACAGATCGAGAACCACCAGCTTGCTGGCCTTGCGCGCCTTCTCTTCGGGTATCGGATAGCTGTTGGTCACCACGATGGTGTCGATGCAATCACAAGCCTGCATCTGCTCAAGGCAATCGCCTCCAAAGACACCATGTGTTGCAATGCAGTACACCTTCTCGGCCTTGCCACGCTTCCGTACCGTCTCGGCCGCAGCAATCCACGAGCCGGGCTTGTCGATCATATCGTCCACGATGAAGACCGAACGGCCCTTCACATCGCCCACCAACGTGATCATGTGCTCAACTTTGGGTTTGAGAATCTCCTCCTCTTCATCTGAGCTGGCTTCCGCATCACCGGAGCCACCCAGGGCATGGGACTGGGGCGCAAAAAACGAAGACGCATGGGACATAACCATGGGATCTTCGTCTGGAATCTCTGTCCCTGCCACACTTTCTGCCGGTGATACAAAATCATCCGGCACGATATGGCCTTGAACCAAGCGACCATGAATGACCTCTGCTGCTCTCTGATCGTTAAACTCGAGCTCGTCACCTTCCGCCTCCTCGTCGAGCTCATCAATGACCGACGACTGTGATAGCGTGGTTTGAGACCTGGTGTGGTGGGGCTTGGGGTTGCTCGCAGAGCGGGCACGTGTGCCGTTAGCAGTCGGGCGAGGTGATCCCTGGCCGTCTGCCACAACGCGCGAGTCTTGGGATTGTGCGTTTGTTGCTTCCTTTTCGGGCTCGGTCGAGGTGGTACGCACCTGGTTACTGATGGGGTCCAGCACTGGCTGTCGCTCAATGCCGTCGAGGTGGTTCATGATCATGCTCGCCGTCATGTTGTGGCCTCGTCTTTTGTCCGTAGTGACCATGCCAAAGTTCAGCTTGAGTGCGTCGGCAAGAGACGTGACACGCTTGGTGCCGCCGGCGTTCTTGGACACCACCACCGCCTCCTTCCAGTCTGGCACATTGTGTCTGATCCAGCGAGCAATCAGCGGCTCGGCGTGAAGGTTGTCCACCGGGCACTTGAAGAAGCCCTGCATTTGTGACGCGTGCAGATCGACCGTGACAATGTGCTTAACACCCGCAACCCCAAGGAGATTGGCCAACATCCGCGCAGTAATCGCTCCTCTATGCGACTTCTTCTTGGACTGGCGACTGTATGGGAAGTATGGCAGGACAGCTGGGCGACCGTGTCAATTGGGTTCAGTTCATGGAAAGAGGAAGTAATGTACCAGTGACTTTGCTCGCCGAGCCTCCCTTGCAGGCCGAGATCATGATGAGCAGCTCCATGATGGTGTCGTTGATCTTGGGGCTGCCGGACTGCACGACAAAGACGTCCTTCTCGCGCACGCTGGTGAGGATGCGGACGCTCGTCTCGCCGTTGGAGAATTGGGTGAGCTCGGCCTCGGCCGGAGCCATGCCGAGATTCTCACATATTTGCTTTGTGAGGGATGGGCAGCTGGTGCCCGAGAAAATGAGGGTGCCTCGCATCTTGAGAGGGAGCGGATTTGATTGAGGTTGCGGGAGGAAGCTGCAATTTTTTCCCACCTCGTCTAAAAAGCGTTGACAAGAGTGGGGCTGGTCCCAGGTTCCGTCCCCACCTGCACGGTCGGCTGTCGCACGTCGAGTCAGCTTGTCCGCCCCGATCCCGTCGTGTCCGACACTGCCCGTTCAAGTTGAGCAATCAGGAAGAGGTGAGGGGCAGACGTTTCGTCATAGGCTTTGTTGCAAAGACGGTGATTATCCGTGGTGCTGTTACCTAAAAGAACAAAATCACATAAAACTGTGTCACAAGAACCTCAAAGACGCAGGTAAAGAAGGAGGTTCCTACCCACTGAAATTACAGCGGGCAAGTCACTGTCAGCCGGGAAGGCGCGGGCCTGTAGCTCCGCCTTTCAGGTGGTTGTGGTTGACAACTGAAGCATCAGCCACAAACGGCGGTCGAGTGGCTGACACTTCCTTGAGCAAACAGCCAGAGCAAACAGCCAGAGCATAGACTGACGGTTAAAACAGTTCCGTTGAGCTTCTCCAGAGTCCTAACTGTTCGTCTGTAGGCCGTTGAGCCGTTTGAATGACTACCTAAGCCCGTAGTTGTTGCTGCACTTCCTGGGGTCTTGTCAAACAGGCTTTTTGTGGGGAGACCTGGGAAGCTCAACTACAACACAGAAATATTTTTACACTGTCCGTACCAGGTACTCTTAGGTACGCCCTTGACTCTATAGGTAAGGCTTATTCATTCCCAAATCCTAGACATGAATCTGACGCTATTCCAGGTATTCCTCCTCCTGAGAAATATGGGCATACCTCATCTCAAAAGGAACCTGGAGCCCTATGCAGAGCGGGGTGCCATTGCGCCGTGCAATGTTGTTGTCGACGGCCCTGCCCTGGCCTATCATGTCCTCAGTCTGGCGTCGAGGACAACCATAAAGACCTCGCCCTTTGAACAGCCCTCATATGAGTTGTTGGGGCGAACAGCGATACAATGGCTCGAGAAAATGGAGGAGTGTGGATTAACCATGTACTTACACGAGCCTCCAATAATACACAATTGTAGAGCTAATGTTTCCATCTGTTCAGTGCGCACATCTACTTTGACGGCTATCTACCCACCTCAAAGCGACCTGAACGTATGCAAAGACTTATCAGGTCGACCAAGGAACTCTTCAAGTACCATTCGACCACGGTGACAGGAGTATCAAGAGAACGTTCTCGTCGCAAGGGTGAGAAGAAGGTCGATTTGTTTCCTGCTTTTATCGGGGGAGAAACAAGATCTAAACCACCTCCACCTGCCTTTCTTGTACCTGCCGTCTTGGATGCGTTGCGTGGCTCAAAGTATGGCCCAATAACGGAGGTGATGGGTGGAGAGGCAGATGGGTACTGTGCTGTTCACGTTCGAAAGTCGGGAGGGTTGGTCTTGACTTCAGATTCAGATCTCTTGGTCCATGATCTTGGTGAGAATGGAGGTGTGATATTCTTTACAGACATCGACCTCGACTCAGAAAACAGCAAGCTTGTCGCTCCTCAGTTTCGACATGCAGAAATCTGCCGCAAACTGTCCATCAAGCCCGACGTGGGCTTCTCCTACATGGCATTCGAGATCTCGGCAGACCCCCACCTCACACTTGACCAGGCCGCTGAAAGATCAAGGAGAGGAGAAGCTGTGATGTACAGCCGGGAAGAGTACGATTCGTTCATCAAGACGTACCTGTTGCCCGAGACGGCACCAAAAACAGTCGCTACTTGTGGATTACAGCTCGACCCAAGAATATCTGAGCTGGTTCTCCGTTATTTGCAGATAACTACAACAGCCTCAAAGGAGAAGGATGCATCCCTCGAGATGTTTCTACCGTTTCTTCTCGACTGCCCATCTCGAACAAGTGCCTGGGAGGTGAGCAAACCTATCAGGAAGCTGGCCTATTCTCTTCTACAGTCGGGCCAGAAAACCTCTCTCAAGACAGTTTCCGAGATGAGGAGGCTTCAAACACTGTCTTCGGGATCACAGGTCGATATTCTACCATCATCCAAGGTGGAAGAAGAATGGAGTCATCTCCTCAGCAACATCGGCAAGATAAAGGCACACATCACCGACCCCGAGCTACTTTGGGTAGTACTGTCTATCTACCTAGACATTGACAGGACAGTAGAACGAGCCAAGGGCTACCCCTTAAGTCTCGAAATCCTGACCCAGGAAGCGAGAGGCAAGCTGAACGAGTACTCCTGGGATGTTCTCCAAGTCTTCGCACAGGTACAAGCAACGTTTTACTCTCTCCGAATGCTTGAGCAGATTCTCAACCTCCAAGAGAGGAGAGGAAACGCAGTGGATGTTATTACCGCCCTGTCAGATCTCCCATCTCTCGACAAGTTCCTATCACTTGCAGATTTTACGGAGACGCTTCAACGTCTGAGAGAGGCCGGCGGACTCGAGTGCCTTATTGACCTCTGCTCAGACATGGAGGATATGATCCCACATATTGAAGCCATCGGGAAACCACCAAAGAGCAAAAAGGACAGGAAAAGAAAGGCGCAGTCAGGGGCTGTGGAGGGCCACCAAGTTAGAGCACGGCCGAGCAACCCGTTTGAGTTGCTGAACAGTCGAGATGACTGATTCACTTACATACGGAAATCTTCATAATACCAAAGATTTGACAACACCTCCTGACTTCGAACATAATGAGTGATTAGTAGAAAGCGTACTCTGAAGCCATACCTCCTAAACAAGGGTTAGGGCTCAAAGCGACCATCCAAAAAAAAGTCCTTATCCTTTATCACCCCTCCAAGAGTCCCCAAAAACTTTTGTGAAATGCCCCGCGTTTCCAGTCATAAAGGTTCTTCCACACATTATTCTCTGCCCCCTCCTTCCACTCACACCACTCGATCTAATCAGATCAGATAACCATCTCTCTCCACCCTCACCTTTTTCTCCTCCCCTCCCCTCCCTCTTAAACCTTTCTTCACACCTCGCACCTCCCATACATCCTCAACCTACCAGTCTCTCAAAATGTCCGACACGCTCTCGTCGATCGCTTCCTTGAGGTCCTCCCTCACAGCCGAAAGCACCCCCCTCCCCGTCCGCTTCCGCGCCCTCTTCTCCCTCAAGCACCTAGCCGTAACCGCCCCCTCCCCCACCTCCCCCGAAGCCCTCGCCGCAATCGAAGCCATCGCCGCAGCTTTTACCTCCCCCTCCGCCCTCCTCAAGCATGAGCTCGCTTACTGCCTGGGCCAGACCCACAACCTCGCCGCAGTCCCCTACCTGATCAAAGTCCTCGAAGATCTCGCCGAAGACCCCATGTGCAGACACGAAGCAGCCGAAGCTCTCGGCGCGCTAGGCGACACCGGAAGCCTGGAGATTTTGAAAAAGTACAAACACAGACAAGAAGAGGACGTCAGTGTAAGGGAGACTTGTGAAATCGCCATTGAGAGGATAGAGTGGGAGAGTAGTGAGGAGAGAAAGAGGGAGAAGCTTAGGCAGAGGTGCGCATTTCACTCAAGAACAAGGGGGAAAAGAAAGGGCTGTTTTGAAGAGATCGCATTGCTAACTAGATTGCTACAAACAGTGACTTTGCCTCGGTCGATCCTGCTCCTCCCATGCCCCAAGGCGAAGAGACACAGAGTGTCGAGGAGCTGCGCAAGACGCTCATGGACACCACCAAGCCCCTTTTCCTCCGATATCGCGCCATGTTTGCCCTTCGCGATTTGGCGTCTCCTCCTGATCTCCCGACTGCTGTCCCGGCTGTTTTGGCATTGGCCGAAGGCTTCGCGGATAACTCTGCGCTTTTCAGACATGAAATTGCTTTTGTTTTCGGGCAGCTGTCGCATCCTGCTTCTATTCCCGCGCTGACTGGTGCATTGAGCAACACGGAGGAGGCGTCGATGGTGAGGCACGAGGCTGCCGAGGCGCTGGGCAGCTTGGGTGAGGAGCCCGGAGTGGAGGAGACGCTCAAGAAGTTCTTGCACGATAAAGAGAAGGTGGTGAGGGAGAGCTGTATTGTTGCGCTGGATATGGCCGAGTATGAGAAGAGCAATGAGGCGGAGTATGCCTTGATTCCGGAGGTCACTGCTTAAGCAAGGGATTTGAGTGGGAGGTAAATATGGATGGGTATCTTTGAGCGTTCTATTGTTGATAACAGGCGTTTGGTCATTAAAACGATGTTTGGTTTGGCTGCCTCTTGAGAGGGCGGGTTTGTTAGATGTTTCTGTGCTCGGGCATATCGTGGGTGGTTGTCGTGAATTAGGAAGGGTAGCAGCTCAGTTGTTGGTGGACCATCTGGGGGTTCAATGTTAGCAAGAACAGAAAAGACAATGTCGATATCAACTGTTGCGCACTTTTCACCGCACTCGCAGTTGTAGATAATTGTTGAGCCTTCATCGGCAGATCTCTGTTGGACTTCAGAGTAGCGAATGCCGCGCCTCCCGCACTTGTGGCAGTCCATGTTGGGGTCGACTCTTTCGGTTTGTACTTCGTGTCTCTTAACGGTCTGGACTATGGAAAGCTTCTGTCGTAGGGCTGACGGGAAGTCGGAGGGCTTTGTCTTTGTTGTTACGGCCTTCCAGGCATGATCTGCATTGTGGTAGCTTGTCAACAACAATTCGAGGGACTGGTTGATTTATGACATGTGAAACTGACCTCTGTGTTCCGCGCCACAGCATTTGCAAATCAGAATGTTCTTTACACTGCCCTGGGAGGCAGGTAAAAGGTCACCACAGTCGGTGCAGAAGACGAGGGAGCCGATAGCAGACATGGTTGCGATGTGTGGTGTTATTTGGTGAGTTATCGGACCTCAAAAATGGCACTCCAAATTAATTCTTATCCACTGCGAGCGACTCTGCGACAAGCTTTCCCGTCAAGAGAAAAAGTTTTAGCGTCAACCAGAGATGGGGCCTCGAGACCCCTGCACCCCGCGACTGCACCTCTTTCGGCAGGCAACTCGCTGGGGCACGGACCACATGGTTCCCCAAAAGCTGCAAGGCGGCGCTGAAAGATGCTGGAGAAGCGACGGCAGGCGCGAGTGAGGCTGCACTTGGCGGTCCTTCTTTCTGGGATCCAACTCCCAATCGAGAGTGCCAGGCACGACCAGGACAGGATTATCATTTGCTTTCTGTTTGACGACCATTGTCGCGTTTTGTTGCAGTCCAGCTGTCAGGCGAGGATGAACCTCTTGCTGATTGCTGAAAAGAACCACAGCCCTCCGCGTTGAGTCCCTCGACTTTCCACTCCCACGTCTTTGAACCTCCTGGAGACAGCGCCTCGAGAGCTTGCTGCGATCGCCCCGCGAGCCATGTTCCGACACCTCTTGTCGTGATTCGACTGCAAACAGACCTGCTTTGCTCCCACCAACCATGGCGAACTCATGGTCGGGCGCCCACAATGGCCCTCCAAACAATAACAATTGGGATGGAGCTCCCCAGGCCAACCCACCACCACCTCCAGTTTCGCAACCTGCTGGCTTTGCGAGGCCATTCACACTCGCCGAAGTCTTGCCCTACACACCCTTCGCGGCGATAGCTCCCTTTGACTCGAGTATGCTTTTCTCTCGGCTTTATTCACTTCTATGGGACTGAACTATCATTTTCTGACGATATCCTCTCCTGAATAGGTGTGCTTCCTTCGCCATCGATAGGTTCTGCGTCGCCCGCTCCCCCAGTAACCGACCTGATACCAAGTCTCGACTTCGAATCGTTAAATCAAGAGGCTTCCACGAATACGGCCTCGAGGTTACTACAGCAGACAGTCGGCCAGGTTCAAAGGCTTTTAGAGAGAGGAAATATCCCCGAATAGTATGTTTGATACCCGGTGGAATGGCAAGATATTGAAGCTAATATTGCCGAAGCAAATTCAAGACTGGACCACGCGCGACGACTTCTCCTTCACCAGCGAAACACAGTTCTCTGGCTGCGGGACTGTCACCGTTCTCGAAAATGGTGCACGATTCAACGTCGATACCGTTTCGGTATCCGACCCCAGATACCCCCACACCCGCTGCGAATAATCATCCGAACGTCATTACCACGCCCATTCCCACGAAACAGAAGATTTCTGCCAAGCCGGTCATTAAGAAAGAACCAGGCCAAGGAAAGAAACTGAGCAGTATTCCTGCAAACACACCGGGCCCTTCTGCGAGCCCGGCCACATCAGCGAACCAGCAGGCGCATGCTGCGAACAAGGCGCGATTCGAGATTGTCTTGCCCACCAAGAAGGAGCTTGAACAGCAGGCCGGCCTTGCGAATATCAAGCCGCACCCTTTATCTAATGTGACTCCACGCGCTCCGCCTGCGCCAGTTGCTCCCCCGACTCCGGCGTATCATCCTCAGTATCAGCCTCAGGTTCAACACTCACCTCAGGTACAACGCCAAGCTCAGGTACAGCATCAACCGCAAGTACACCAACAGCATCAGGTCCCGCAACAACATCAGGTTCAACAACAACAACGCAGTCAGCAACACCCACCCCTCAGCTCTGCAGAAGCTACCGCGGCCTCAAGAACTGCCACGCCCCCAGAGCGGCCCGGATTGCAAAGCATATCCAGCTCTCAAAAGCCAGTCATTGCTATTGAGCTTCCCAAGACCAAGACTTTTGACAAGAGTGAGTTTATGGTGGTTGCAGATGAGCCTGAGGAGCCTGCCAACTTGCCATTGAAGAAGCGGAAGCACGGTGACATTGATGGTGACGACATCTATGGAGAGAGCTTGGATCTTCGCCAGAGAGCTGATGCGGCTCTTCATGACTTGAGAGTGTTTCTTCACAACGCTTTCCAGGCAGAGAACGCTGTGCTTGCCCGAAGGCAAGGAAACGACATGGTGGTTTTGGTTTCTGAGAACGAAGCTACCCTGACAGCAACCGCACAATCCAAGGCGCAGGCCCTGCTGGGCAAGACGATCACCTTGAACTGTTTCAAGAATGCGCCTCTCGAGGAGCTACTTCACCTCATTCGGCTTTCCGAAGGTGCTTTAAAGCTGGCCGAAACGCTAGACATCAAGGTTGACGAGACCTGGGTAGCTGCCGATGTGGAGCAGTGGCTGAGCCAGCTGCCCTGGTTAGAGATGGCGATTCGGGCTGGCCGCACGTCTCTGAGAATCATGTGTGGCGGCCGTCAAGAGAAGCAGCTTTACTCCCAAGACACAATAGAACACTGTCTTGACCTGTTCAAGCGTATCATTGACGGCATCGTCATTCCGATTGCCGAGTTGAGAGCCACCCCAGGGGCTAACGAACTCTTCAAGACGTTGGCTCAGAACAAGAAGAAGATTGTGGCCTTGTTCAACGATTGCCAGAAGCTGTTTTCTATCATGGCGACTTTGATCTCGTCCATCGACACCTCGGACGCGGTGACAAACACGCTCGAGTTCACTGCCTCGCGGCTCATCTTTATGGAGACGGCACATGCAGAAAAGGACTCCGTCATTGACACGCAAAAGTTCGATGGACTTCGTTTGGTCGCTATGGATATGCTTTCGCAGATTTTCCTGCTGAACCCTGAGCAGCGGAAGGGCATTTTCAATGAGATTTTGAGCTCGTTGGAGAAGCTGCCGCTTGGGAAGAGAGCGAGGACTTTCAAACTTGTGGATGGCACGAGTATCCAGCCAGTGTCTGCTCTCATCATGCGGTTGGTTCAGACCAGTGCTGGCAAGGTTGGCGATGCGGGTCGAGGAAAGGGGAATACTATGCCTGTCGAGGACGAGGCGGCCGAAGGCCCTAGGCGGCTGCCGCAGTCGTTTTCCATTCAGGATGAGGAGCACGGTGCCTCGCAGCATCGTATCGCCATTCAAGAGCTTGACGACGTTTCTGAGGCCTTGATCAAGACAGCCACCAACAGCGCCTCAGACGTTGTCCAGTTTATTGTGAGCCGAGCGCTCAAGTCGACCAAGTCTGGTGATACGCCGTATCGCAACCTCCTTGACATGTTTGTGGAGGACTTTGCTCTCTGTCTTGACAATCCCGACTGGCCTGCGGCGGAGCTGTTGCTTCGAATATTTATGCATCTGATGTTTCAGCTCATCGAGAATGACAAGCAACCGGTCACTGCGAAGAACATGGCTCTGGAGCTGTTGGGAAGCATGGGTGCCGCTGTTTCCAAGCTTCGCGGGCATGTGAGGAAAGGTGTCAGCAGTCTCGACACGCAAGACAGCGACGGCCTAGGGTTGTTCATTTCCGACTTGGCTGCTGCGGCGCTGGAGCTCAAGTCTCGCCCGGAGCAGATGGTGGCATGGACTGGGCCATATCGTGCTACGCTTGAGCACCTCGAGAGCCGCTTCTCAGAGGATCCTCATCTGGCGAGTGCCATCTCTTTCTTGGTTTCCGACTGGGCAAGCAAGACATGCAAGACCTACGACGACTATGAAGACGATGTTGCCGAGCGTGATCATGAGCTTGGCCGACTCGCCTACAGGCTCCGGGAAATGATACACGATCGTCAGTGGCTGTCGAGGGAGTATTCTTTCAAAGACATTAGCCAGAGCTATGCGAGGCTGTCTTACTCGATCACCCTCTTGAGGTCCCCGCTCTGTGAGGCCTTCAATACGATTCTGAACATTCTTCTCAACTCAATGGCTAGTGACCAGCCGACGGTACGAAGCAAGAGCTTGAAGAGCGTCAACCAGGTCCTGGAAACGGACCCGTCCATTCTGGATGGAGATTCCGTGGTGGTGCAGCTCATTCTGAGATGTTCCAACGACTCGTCGACGCAGGTGCGTGATTCGGCGCTTGGGTTGATTGGCAAGTGCATCAGCATGCGGCCGGCGTTGGAGGAGCAGATTACCCCCACGGTTGTGGAGCGGTTTAATGATGCTGGGCATGGTGTTCGGAAGAGGGCCATGAAGCTTGCCAAGGATATTTACCTTCGCAACAGCAACCGGACGCTGAGGAGCACGATTGCGAATGGGCTGCTGCATCGGATTCAGGACCCGGAGGAGAGCGTCAGGGAGCTGGCCAAGCAGGTGATTGAGGAGATATGGTTTGCACCTTTTCACAGCGGCCAGACCTCGGCCGCGTCCAAGATTTCTCTTGCGGATCATGTTTCGCTCATGGTGCAGACGGTGAACCGGGGCAATGTTGTCAGTGTGCTGGATAAGGTGCTTCAAGCACTGCTGGCGCCGAGCAACAAGACGGCGCAGGCTTCGTTGGAGGTCTGCACGAAACTGGTGGAGAGCATGTTTGACCTGGTTGACAGCTCGGATCCGGAGGACACGACCAAGCCTTCGGGAAGAGATGTCTTGCAGATTCTGATGATTTTTGCAAAGGCGGAAGCTAGTCTCTTTACGTTTGAGCAGTTGCGGCTGTTGAGGCCTTATATCAGCAGCATCCGCAGCAACGAGGACCCGGCCGTGTCCAAGGCTGTGGTGGTTATCTATCGTCGGGTGCTTCCGCAGCTGTCGAGCGCGCATTCTCAGTTCCTTACCGAGGTGCGCAGTGAGCTGATGCCTACCATGACGACAGTTTCACGGCCTCTGATGAACGAGGTCATGGCTTGCTTGTGGATCATTAGCGGGCTGCTCGACACTTCCGAACACATGGCCAGGCTTGCGGCCTCGAGTCTGAGGAATATCCAGGCGCTGCATGCAAAGAGCAAGACGCAGCCTCTGGATACCCGCACCATGCGCCAGTTTGAGCGGTACTCGCTCATTGTCGGTATGGCGGGCAAACACTTCAACCTCGACAGCCATTTGGACTTTTTCAACAAGATGTTGAAGACGAATGGCAGCTCCGTCTCAAAGTTGATGGTTGATCTGGTGGTCCCTTTTGCTG